GTACGACGACCGACGTACGTTCTACTACTACCTTACCTTTCTTTCTTCTTTCTTCTCGTCTTCTTCTTCGTTTCGTTTCTTCCTACTTACTACTTCTCTCTCTCTCTCTCTCTCTCTCTCTCTCTCTCTCTCTCTCTCTCTCTCTACGAGGAACACTTGGGTTTTTAACAAGATCTCATCTTTGAGGCCTAACAAAAAAATGAAAAAATAAAAAACAAAACAAAGAATTTATTTGTTATGTCAAAAGCAGGAACTGCGATTGTTTCCATTGAAGTCACAATTTTTCATCAATTTATATTTGCTTCCATTTGCAAGAGTTTATATGTTGTGTCAATAGGATTAGCTTGATATTGCAATGAGATTACTTTACTGGTTATGGTTTGAGTGATGCTATGTTGAATCTTAAGCAGTCACAAATGTAATGGATTTGTGAAAGTTTAAGGAATGAGCTAGAAATATGAGTCTAATCTAATAGAAATATGCATGTCCTTGATTGGAGAAAACCCAGTCTGGTTCTCTTTATGACTTGAGTTGATTTTCTGATCTATGAAGACAATGAAACAAAGAGGAATATCAATGTTCAGGGACTCGGCCGAGTGCTCCGCACCTGAGTTTAAAAACTGGGTAAATTAAAAAATAAAAATAAATTCATAAAATTATATTTCTTAAGTGAATCAATCGATAAACATGTTCTTATATTGGTTTGATGATTTGATAATGATTTGTGAACTTTTTTTTATTTTTTGCTCTATTTTTTTATTTTGATGATTTTATGATCCTCTGTATTATTTCCAGCTATAAATAAGATTTTTCTAAATTCCATATAAATATATTTTTCATCATTTTTAGGCTTTTAGTGCTATTTATGGTGTGGTTTGGTTTTTACTGATTTTTTATTTTTGTCATTTTTTTTTGTTGTTTCAATTTTATAGCCTTTTTAGGAATGCACACTACTCAGGTGAGTCCACTTGGGCTCGCCTGAGTAACTTGGCTCAGGCCTGGGCCAGGGCCACGTCCAAGGCCCCAGCAGAGTTTCAGAACATTGAGAAATATATTTGAATAGACATCATTGAGAACCATGACACGATTTTGATCTAGAGTCTCTGGTGAAAGGTAAATTGAAGAAGTAGGAAAGAAGTTCAGTGACGAAAAATAAAAAGGAAGTAAAGAGAGGGGGAAAAAAGAAGAAGAAGAAGACAGAGAAAAGTAATGAAAATAAAAGAGGCAAGAGGCTCTCTTACAGTCTCGCAGCATAAATTTTGTTCTCAAAGTATCTGTGGAGAGAGAGAGAGCAAGTGAGAGAGAGAGAGAGGGAGGAAGAGAGATGCTTTTTTATAATCTCAAGTTGCAACAATCCATGCCTTCCAAATTGCAATTGCGAACAAAAAGTTGAATTTGTATATTTGGAAAACTTCCTGCACTACCAATTTGTTTGTTTAGAAGTTATAGAATAAAATTGCAGGAAAAAGATTGTGGGGGTCTTACGGAACCGAATCATGGGGGCATGCATCAAATCTGAGGAATTTTGAGCTCAAAGCAATTTTTTTGAAGTGATCCTAGGATGCATCAAAGGTGTATGAGAAAATTTTGGATCAACAAGTCTCTTCAACTAGTGTGTCTTGGCTGAAAGACCAAATATATAATTTGGTTCCACAAGGCCACTGTACAGAGTCCCAAACATTTTATACTGACAGGCCTTATATGAGATAGGTGAATGTGAGGACATTTTTGTTTAACAATGAAATGTATTTGAATGCAAAGAAAATATTAGATTATTGAGATGTCTTACTGGCCTTGTGATATCAGTTTTATGTTATTATTCAACTCCTAGAATGATTAACTGGCACTCTTACAATGCTCTTTTCTTCTTTTTTTTGGGATAGTTCAGTGGTACGAATCAAAGTTGAAATGTAGTGTTTGCTAACATCAACTGCTAACAACTCGAGACCAACCCGGATTCCCAAAAATTTGGGAAGGTCAGCTTGGTTTGTTTTAGGGTAAGGCCGAAATCGAACCGTTAACCTCTGGCTCAGAAGCCGAGGTGTCAACCTTTTGGTCGAAGCCCACAGGACACTCTTACAATGCTTTATCTGATACTAAAATCATCCTTCATCCTTGTGTTGTTTGGAACTATCTTACCTTTGTTGAATCCATGCAAACACACAGAATTCAGTCAATTGGTCTATTGTTTGCTGTCATAACAGTTATTTAAATTGCTATATATATCATTGTTGAAAAGACCTAATTTACTGTCATGTGGATGCACTTCTAGAGAATCACTCTATTTGGAAAAAGATGATTCTACTCTCAAAATCTCAATTCCAAAACAGACAGTATCTAGATTGATAAATAGGAAAGTAATCCCAAGTATCTAGTAGTGCATTCTGGCCTTGTATGATGGCTATATGTACAGCTAAGGAGAGCTAAAGGGTGGTAGGTGTAGTTGCTCACTATGAGGAATTGTGCTTGCAGATGCTGAAAAAAATGCCCATTTAAAGAAATTTGAAAATGCTTCAACAAATTTAGTACTCTTCAAAGCAGATCTCCTTGACAACAATACCATTTCTTCAGCGATCTCAGGATGCCATGGAGTTTTTCATGTTGCAAGTCCAGTTCCACCAGGCAAAGTGCAAGATCCAGAGGCAAGATTATGTTATGCTAACATTCAAGAAAAAAATTATTATGTTATGCTTTTCTTTGGTATCTACATTCTTAATTAACACTTCTTAGAAGTAAATGAACTGGCGCCACACCCCCCTCCCCCCCGGCTGTCTCTCTCGCTCTCTCTCTAAATCCTGAAAGAAATACACAGAGGTTAAGTTTCTATCTTTGTTGGACAATGTATGAGATTCATACTTATTTTAATGCTTATGCCTGAGTGCTTGTAGTATGAGCAAATCAGGGTGAATTATCATCTAAAGTTCCGAGGAATATCATTCGCTCTCTTATAATCAGTGTAGATACTTGTTTCAGAGTTCCGAGCTTGTTCATATGTTCATTGGCATTAGAAAGTTAGATAATAGTCGAATTTGTTCAATTCAATCTTCTAGTACATAGCAAAAATTTATCATATTCATTCAAACAGAAAAAACATTTATTTTGAAGTATTACATCTTCTCAATTAGGAAATTGGATTGAATATTTTGTAGAAAGACTTATTGGATCCAGCAGTGAAGGGAACTTTGAACGTGCTAAAGGCATCTAAAGAGGCAGGAGTCCAGCGAGTTGTCTTTGTCTCATCCATTGCAGCTGTTTCGATGAACCCCAATTGGTCTCGGGATAAGGTCATAGATGAAAATTGTTGGTCTGACAAGGAATTTTGCAGGACTACTGAGGTAATAGTTCAACAGGTTCTTTATGGGTGTTATAATATTTGTTCTCTCTTAATTTTTTATCTCCTCCCAAATTTGTAGCTAAGTGGACTCATATGCAAATATTAAGACTATCTAATTAGCATATGAAATCCTCAACCTTGAAGCTAGTATCAGAGAGCAGATCAAAGTTACATGCTTTTCACATGGGTTAACTTGCAGTCATGTATACTAAGGGGAAACTGAAATTTAATCAGAAGACTATGGAAAATCGATGTCCATTAGGTCATCATTTCCACTGAGATGATGGATGGTGATTAAGAGATAGTGGGACCCACCATTAAGGTCATTTGATGGTCTATTGGGCATCAATCTCTATCCATCACCATACATGTGTGATGACCCCATGGATTATAGGAAAAAACCAATAATTTTTTGATAAAAAAAACATGATTTTTCCATAGTCCATTGGATCTTAATCATCTCTCTCACTGTCCATTGAATCTTAGTATGCATTCCCTGTACTTAACACATTCCACTTGACATGCTTGAGGTAATGTATTTATGCTTTATTTTCCAATTCTGTTACATCATGTGGGTAGATTTTTTCAAGTGCATGTACATGATATATGCTTGGAGCTGAACTTGATTTCCATTACTTAGAATAAGAATTAGTCTATGCTTTCTTTTTATTTTTGTGCTTTGCATCACTTTTACATGGCTAACTTCCAATCTTCCATTTAAGCCAAAAAATAAAAAATGAGACTTCCAGTCAGACACCGTATTCTACTTTGAAACACGAACTGTCATAATAGAAGCAACATATTAGTATCTGAGGATTGTTGTACAGTAAACATTTATTGCTTCCCAATCATATAGTCCAGTGGGTTTTGTGAATTCTCCTTTGCAATGCTATAGAAACAAATTTTCTTGAGGGGACATTCTGTGGATTATCTAACTAAATGTAATCACTCTTTTGGTTTCTACTGGCTAGAATTGGTATTGCCTCTCAAAAACCATGGCTGAAAGTGAAGCTTTCGAGTATGGTCAGAAAAGTGGACTTGACCTTGTATCAGTTTGTCCAACGCTGGTGCTAGGACCGATGATACAACCAACAATAAATGCAAGCAGTCTAGTTCTCATCAAGCTTTTGAAAGGTATGTTGTCAATTGTGAATATTTCTAAGATCATGGGAAAGGGTCGCCGCGTAGTGTCATCATCATCATCAGAGTTTTATCCCAACCATTTGGGACAGCCGTATAGTGTATTATATCTAAATGTTTTTTCTCATGTTTCATCTTTGTGGTTCTTTCCTTTTAAGTGACAGTAGTGCTTTTGGTTGGTTCATTTCATAAAATGGTTAATAATATTGATTATAGTAATTCTACATGGTTATAGTGCATTATATCTAAATGTTTTTTCTCATGTTACATCTTTGTGATTCTTTCCTTGTATGTCACAGTAGTGCTGTTGGCTGGTTCATTTCATAAAATGGTTAATAATATTGATTACAGTAAGTTTACATGGTTCACTAAGTGGTAATAAGCTAGCATTAAAGTTTAGAATACATATTACTACCACCAATTTTGGAAAGCATTTTAAATCTAGACAATGACCCTTCCTTGTATCAACTATAATTCCAGGTTGCTGTCACTAGACATAACAAAACTGAATTGAAGGGCTATTTTGTTGGTTCAAGCAACTTGTGGCTGCTCTCTCTCT